TTCCATTCCTGGCCAGTGGTCTTTCTGCATGGTGTTTGCATGTTCTCTCCGGGTACTCCGGCTTTCTACCACAGTCCAAAAGCATGACTTACTTCTCTAAATTTTCCTTAGTTGTGAGTGTGTGTGTGAATGGTTGTTTGTCCTGTTTGTCTCTGTGTTGCCCTGCAATGGACTGGTGACCTGTCCAGGGTGTACCCTGCTTCTTACCCATAGACAGGTGGAGATAGGTACAAGCAACCCTCGTGACCCCGCTTGGGGTAAGCGTGGCAGAAAATGGATGGGAGGGATGGATGGATGATCCGTCAGCTTGAAGTAAACGGGTGGTTATAGCCAAACCTTGTCCAGGGGTACTGGGGAGCGGGAATCCTTCTCCAATTGGTCAGATTTTGATTTGTTTCCACTGACCAGTTCAAAACAGAAACCATCATGATTCAAACCAGTCTGAGATGTTTGACTGATGTAACCTTAATGTCCTGTTAATCAGATGGAAACAGGGAAGGTTTTTTATCCTAGAGAGGACTCAAATGGATACAGACCAGCAGACAGTTTGAAAGGCATTGTGTACTCCCTGACTGCACTATTGTCTTTCAAGTTCAGGTAAGGATTATGAAGGGTGAGCGAAGAGTAAAACAATAGGAGATTGGGGTTAAAGAAAACAGGAAAAAAAATATTTCTTCAGTATGATTGCCTGACACCAGAAGTAATATTGGTTTGGTTCACTGCATGATTACAGGTAGAGGACTTGCATCTAGAGCCGAGACATGAACCAGTTCAGGTACAGTAGGCATACAACAGGAAGTGGTAATTGTTCAGCTAAATTGTTATCCATAAGGCTTCGCTCACAACCACAATCGATTAAAGAGCGAAATGGTTAATTCTATGGGAGAAAGCAGAGTAATGTCATGCGGAAGAATCTGTTCTTAAAACTGTCCACTGGCCCCTTCCTTACCAGTGGGCCCTCCCTTTTAGCTACTTAAAACAGGAAGACATCAATTGACCACTCGGTTTTCATCTAACGTTGTCATTCCTCCGATTACAACTGGGTGTAACCAATCTGCATCGGTTCTTTTAGATCTGACCTGGAAGAGTCAGATATTTGTGAAAGATCTGCAAGATGAGATTGGGAAAGAAGTAAATTATTCTGTTGGTTTGCCTGGGTCCATTCTCGAATTCTGCCTTCAATGCAGATAGCCAGGGAAATTGGTTAGAGTTTTAGACTCCTCTCTGCACGCTAGTTCATCCTTAATTCTTTCATCAAAGGCGTGAAGAAAAGCTACCTTTAATGCCTCAGAGCTCCAGGCTGAAGAGGATGCTAGAGTTTGAAACTCAATGGCAAAATCTGATACTGGCTGGTTAATCTCTTTTATATTCCACATGTTATGAGAAATGTTGGAAACTGAATCAGTACATGTGAATATCTATTTGAACTCAGAGATAAACAGGTCAAAGGAAATTTAGTATTGAAATTAACCCCCAAATCTTGCTTGAGTCCACTACTGGGATTGACCTCTCAATGATGAAAATAAGGTTTTATCCATAACAAATAAGACCTGGAGGACCGACTGAAAACTAGCTAACATTGTAACAGGAATCCACAACACCTTCCAATTTCACCCCCATAAGGCAGGGGTGTGGGGAAATTGGCTAAATGAAAATGAGAAGTAGTGGGAGGAGTTAGATCAAGAATGGCAGTTGTAGATGGGGAGGTCCCATGGGAGCGGTTCTGTTAAGAAGCTACTGAAACATTTCTGTAAACTGCTCCATCTGCTGATCTGAACATCTTTGCTGTGCAGCCAAAGAGTGGATTAACTGATTGTGGAGATAAAGTAATTCACAATTAGCGCAAAGCCCCATGGGAGATTCTGCTGGGTCAGACTGACCGAATGATTCTCTCATGTTGGTTTTTAGACTGGAGACAAAGTGATGTTCACTGGTTGTCTGGAACGATGATGGAGTCTACATTAAAGAAACTCACAATAGCACAAATTTCAACAGGAAAGCTAGACCTGGTTTAGGCCTTTGGCTGGAACACCATCAGCAGTAATCAGCTGGCCAAAAGAGATAATCCATTGCCTCGTTATGTACACACTAGTCATCTTGATTGAGAAATGTTCTAAGGTGTGCAGCAACAGGGGTTGGTCCAGCCACCACAAAGATCCTCTCTGTGACAGGAAACTCATTCACACCAGAGACAGGATACATGGAGTCCTCTACAAACTTCCCTAGCCCCATAACCCTCTTTAAACCAAGTCTAGTCAAGTATTAAAATAACCAATGCCAAAAACTTGTACAAAATGCTTTACTAGAACTTTAAGACTACTTTGCACATCACTAAACTGGCGCATTTATAAAATTAAGGTGAAGGCTTAAAATGTTTTAAATTTCTGACATTATGTGCTAAAGTGGTAAGCTAATTCTTTTCTTCTTTTCAGTTGGAACACATGACACCGATATTGGTTGCAAATCTGAAGTGACCCCTTTGCATCTATCTGCCCGAGCTCTAGACAGTGACCTGATGAGTCGACTCGAGTCACAGGGTTGTAAACTTTAAACAAGACTTCTTTAAAAGAAAATTGAGTTTGTACTAATACTTATCAGCAGTGCTTAATTTTCTTACATTTTTTTATTTTCAGGGATGGCTTATTATAACCTTTTCATGGCTTAAAATATAGGACTTGGGCTTGACTTGTTTGTCTTGAATTGAACCATGATTTTGAAAACTTGAGACTTACTGCGGTTTAGAATGTAATGAATGATCACCTAGCAGGTCAGTCAACTTCTTATTCAGTCTAAACAGCAACTTTTTGGATGAAATGGGACCAAACAGACTGAAAGTAGAACCATTGTTGATGATTTTTATACATAATCACTTACTGAGTTCATAGTAAATAATCTGCCCCGTTATATGCGCACAAAAATGAAGCTTAAGCATAAATTCAATCTGGAAGACTCTGATGAGCCTCACCTGAATCACCTGCTGGAGCCCTACCTCCAAACCTCAGCCAATTAGCTTCGGGACCACACACGTCCCGGAGGTAATCGATTTGCAATATCTCTGTCTTCAAGCATCATTCCTGACATCCTTCCTGCTCACCATCGATCTCTCTACCCACCTCCAACCCTTCTGCTCCCCAAGAAGTGAATCTCGGGCACAGGCTCCATCCCATTCATCCTGGGCTTATTCCACCATCGATCTCCAGACACCTGGGGAAGTCTTATCCTCTCTCTCCTAAATTCACCGATTTGATCATCCATCAGCTTTTAACACAAAGTCTTCATCCAATGTCCGAGTGCTGAAGAACTTATATATTATTCATGTCAATAAATGCTTCTAATTACAACTTTTGTCTCTGTTAGTCTTTCAGAAGATGCAAATATACACATCTTCATATGCCTAGTGTTTAAAAAGATCTTCAGCTGTTAACTGAATTTGTTTTTGTATTTTTTTCTAGAAGGCTGTAGTCCTAATTTAACAAGCATCATTCTGTATGTCAGTCATTAAATGATGTCTCTAAGGTTGAAGGACTTTGGATACAGTACAGCAGTCTGAGGTTACTTTCCTACCCTGGATAGCATTCTTACTGTTGACACTGCAAAATATGAAGGAGGAGCTAGGAACAGGAAGTAGGAAAATAAGGATATATTCAGAATTGGCCAATAAATCTTGCCTTCAGGGAGTTGAGCTCAAAAAGAGAGAGGTTAGTGGTCTTCAAAATAAAAGCAAAAAAAAAAAGAAGCAAACTTCCGGTTGCTCAGCCTTAACATGTAATATAACTTAGTGACGGAGATGCTTTACAGAACCCAAACAGAACTGGATACAGTTGGTGGCACGGTCACAAAAAAGTTGGCATGTGCCTTTCTGCTTATTTTACACATGGAAATAAATGTCCACCTGGCTTGAAGACCAGCTTTGCATTATTCAGTTTGCATTTTGTTTTACAAAAGTAAACCTTTGGAAGATCAGGCCATAATTGGGATGATGTGAAATGTTTATTAAAACCCTTCCCATTATAGGAAGCATTTATCTACAAAATGTAATAAAATACTTATCTACAATAAAGAAATAAACCAGTATGTTATGACTTAAGTTCAACAGTACAAAGTTATCTTTCAATAGTCACGTCACGGAAGAAAGAGTAGATAACATGGCAATTAATGGATACAATGTCTGGTGGAATAAGGACATGTTTTATAGATTTTCGAAAGGGCAAATGACATGGGATTTAAATAAGAACTGATAAACTGAACAAATATGACCACCTTGTCTACTTTTTACATGTCATATATGAAAGTAAGTCAAGAATGGTTTTATAATTTTGAGTATACCAATGGTGCAATCAACAAAACTAGGCAAAACAAACAACACTCCAGCAAGTAATACAGTAAATACTGTAATTAGTCTTTCAGCATCTTTTTGTCTGAAATATTTAAATGCTGCATGATAGAATAACCATGAACCATGAACCACGATAAAGAAATTATGAAAATTACACTGACATATTAAGATATGTGCAGACTATTGCATATCATATTTACAATTTATTTACAATGTAATGGCAAAGCAAGATAGATAAGACAGATAGCATAAGTAAATAATGCTATTTTCTATAGACTAAAGTAAATTACATAATACAGGGCATGGTGGGATTTAGGCTGAAACGGGGAGAAAAATATGACTTGGGGTGAATTTTTTGCTGTAATACAATATAAAGCATTAATTAGATTAACCAATAAAGCAATCAACATGACAATCAGTAGCTGCAAAAACAGTTCCTGTGCTATCTAAAACTTCTTCCTGCCCAGGATTATCTACAAAGATAAACCTTTTGCGTGTATGGAGGGATGCACAGGAACACACACGTGGGAAGCTAGACACACACACACACACACACACACACACACACACACACACACACACACACATCTACTCTCACACATACAGTGCAATAGTTGTTCCCATATGTTAGAGGGAGGTTGAAGGAAGAGAGGGTTGGATCGAGTGACTTGTAGCCTTACCAGACCCCGTCACACGGCACACAATTTTTTTTTTTTAGGATCACTCTGAAGGTGAAGAATTTCTCAAATCAAGTAAAGGGTAAGAACCACACGGATCAACCCTAGGACCTCCCCAGACATCTTTTGCATGAAGGTGGAGTCATTAGAAAGAGGAGAGGAAGCGAGATGGGGAAAAAAAACAAAAGGAGCTGGACAACTGAAGAGAACAGATGGATTGTCTGTCATACATCTGGATATTTAGGTCCTGAATCCTTTGCTTCGCATTGTAATATCTGAACAAAGGTCCAGAGGGAACATCAAGTTTAGTCTTTTTCAAAAGTGAGGAGAACTATTTTCCTCTTTTTTAAGTTTTGGTAAACTTTTTTTATATGGATTGGAATTTTTTTCTTTCATCTTTTTCAACCTTGAATTGCCTGGAAGTATGTGGATTTCTCTAATGCAACTAAGACTATTGATTGGAACATCATAAAAAAAATCCAGAGAGAACTGGCAAACACAAGGAAAACTCTGGGTTGTAAGAGAAATCTTTGACTTTGCTTTATCATATAAAAAGTTTCTAATAATCAGTCTTTCATTTTCAATTTGGAAACATCATCCTCAAAGAAAGGCTCAATGTGTTTTTTCAGATTTGCATTATTAAATTAATATTTCATCCAGATATAATAAAACTTCATGCAGGTGGTGAAAAGTTCTGACACTGCGGAAGGTTCACCTCAGCCAGTGTGGATTGTGGAGGGCTCTCTCCCTGCCCTCGTAGTTTATCCTTGCCCCCAGCAGCATGTCCCAGGCTCTGAGGCTGCCTCTAGTCCTCCTCACAGCACACTACCATGATCAGATGGGCTGCTGGAGGGAGTAAGGCTGCTTTTGCCTCGTTCTGCTCCTGGGCTGGCTTGGTGGCTTGCTCTGTCTTCAGAACCAGCTTCCGACGAAGGTCATCCGGACTGCTTTCTTCCCTGGCTTTCTCAGTGCTGGTTGCTCTGCTGGTATTCTCCCTGTTCTTACCTGAGGCCTCTTGTCGTCAGCTCCACAGAGACAGACCAAGGTCAAAAGTTTCGGAAAAATCTGGGGTACCACTGAACATTTCAGAGAGTGAACTAATCTCTAGACCAAGAGCAAACAGTGGCCCACTGCGTCGGGCTGGAGGACCGCAGGGGAGGCATGTGCGCAGCTACAGTCACTTACAAGGAGACATTCGTAGGAGAAAGTTGTTCTCTTTCCAGAAGTTTTTCCTAAGGATCGACAGGAATGGACAAGTCAATGGCACCAAGAGCAAAGATGACCCATTCAGTGAGTAAAATATTTTAATGTGTAAAAATAGATGGAGAGATTGTAAACAAATTTTACATATGGGGTTCTCATCATCTACAATCTATAAACTCAGCATGATTTCTTTTTATTAAAAAACTATTAAATGCCTGTCTTCTAGTGGTAGAATTTTCTTAAACAAAGAAAGTATTCTCTCAATGGAAAAATCTCTAGAAATATTAAATACCTGGGAATGATATATGAATTTTTTTTTCCCAGGATACCTACTGGGTTCTGGCTTGGAGGAAGAATTTCAGATTTGAGTTGTCCTTTTGTTTTAAACCAGACATCTCAGTGATATCTCTCCTGTCCAAACACTCAGCACAATGATGGTAGCTCTCAGTCGGTTTAAAAAGGAGCAGGGGCAGATAACTGGTCCATTATCAGGCAGTCTTCACAGCCCAGGGTAAACAGAGTTGATAAGAGCCGCAGAGGATCAGGGCTGGTGCAGAGTGGGGGAGTTTATGATTGTCAGTCTCATTGATGCTTTTAGGCCCATTTTTTCTACTTCTCTTTCTCTAATCTCCAAATCACACTGACCTTAAACCAGCCAAGGTTGGAGCAAATTGCACACCCTCAGTCACATTTCAAACGTTTGTTTGACTTTTTCCACTCGGGGAAACGTGTCCTTAGAGGTGATTACATGTTGTTTGTTTCACCGGATCTGTCAGTAAAGCGGCATTCTCATTTGTAACCCAGCGTCCTCATCGATCTTTGTGTTTGGGCGCCCATCAAGCACCCACATGTTCCCTGTGGGTGTGTGATCATGCAGTAGAAGACACTGATATTAGCTCACACAAGTTGTTCAATTGTTTATTCAGGAAGTCTCATTCACGGAAGGACCCTGGCCAAGTTGATAAGAAATTAAAATATACACATTAAAGACATTAGGAAATATTAGGATATCAAAGAAAAATAAATCCCAAAGTAAATCTAACTAATATTGTTAACAGTGCCAAGCACTGTTAACAATATTATTCAAAACATTACCTGGCACTGACATTGTCCAATGCATTTTTTCGCTGACTCCTTCATCCACAAGTTTGCTATTCACCTTTGCAGCTTACTGTATTTGTTGTATTTTTAGGTCTTATTAAGAGCTGGTACACTGTACAAATTTCATGAGTCCTTGTGCTTTTTGTTTGCAAAACAACAACATTCAAATATGAAATATAGAAAAGAGGTAAATGTCAGAATATGACATTTCAACGCTACATTATAGAAATATTAAAGTATTTAAGCACTCAAGAAATTATGTAAATTATGTTGTCATAGTCAAGCAAGGACAAATTCAGATTTTGCAGATATAAATCTTTTTGTATACATCTGTCACACTATTGCATATCTTGTTTGCAGTTCAATGGAAAACAAAATATGTTGCATTCTGTCAATAATGCTTTGGCATGGTCTTTCTACATATTTAAACCTGTAGCATATATAACAGGTAAGCCAGACTGTTTCGGATCCTTTAAAACATGATAAAAGTTTTACAACTTGAGCATCAAGGCTGTCTCATGTCATATACCACAAATATTTAACAGAGTGATGGCATTTACACAACTGCAACCAAATTATATTAGCCATAAGTAAATTCAAACATCACTTATTCTATTGTTAGACAATGCAAATGCTCTCTGTGGTAGCAGATGTTTTGGGGTGCCAATTGAAAGAGAAACTGATCTTCTTTCAGAATTGTTGGGCTAATATTTACAAGAGTACATAAATGTACGTAGATACTGTATTTGTCACTGATATTTCATTCACTGATAGTCAGAAGATCCTTTAATACCGGAAAACAAATGCAGGACAATCACATTGCAGGAAAGTAAACAGCTTTGTCTTTACTGGTGGATGTAATGGTTTCACAAAATGCCCTTTATTGGAAAGATAAAATGTAAATTTTATTAACACCGTTGTTATTTATCAAAATCTTTATTTAAAGTTACAGAGAATGAAAATAATATAATATATAAACATTGATGACAACTATTAGGAGTTGTAATAGAAAATATAGGTATATATTTTAGGAATAGTTTTTAAATGAGAGCTTTTTCTTTATTTTTTGGCGTATTTTAGGCGTTGATTCGACACGTTACATTACCATGTCATTAGAAAAAAGCTTTATATGACACATGGATACGCCAGGTCTCCCTCGAAAAAAAAGATTTTATCTCAAGGGACTTCCTGGTAAAATAAAGGTTAAATAAAATAAAAATGGATACATTTAAACATGTTCTTTATTTTCCCGGTCTAATGATCCCACAGTGAGTAGATATAAAACACTTTGCTTTTCCTCTTGGGAGAGCCTGACCACACATTCAATCAAAGTGACTAAAGGGAAATAGCACAGCGGAAGCAAAATGTCAGGCGAGATGTTTGTTTGGACAAGGTCATGACAGAAGAAACTTTATTGAAGTGATGCCTTTACTGCTACCTTTGTTAGTGGTTTCTTTTAAGTTGTAAAACTGGGCAGCAGCAATGAAGTCTGACTCGGGTTTTTTTTTTGTTGTTGTTGTTGTTTGTTTTGAATTTAGCAAAAACCTTTGTTTAAAGATTTATTACATTTTTTGTCTATGTTTCTGCTGAGTGAGTTTTTTTTTTTTTTTAATCATTTAGACTTCACAGTGGATTGAACCCCAGTGCAGAAGGTGAAAGGGAGATCCTCTAGTGGTACAAGTTCATGAATGAGCTGACTGAACGTCATTGTAGCCACATCAAAGGTGTGCATCTTCAGTATCAATGGTGGTGCCATGAACAAGCTGTGTCCTAAGGGGGTCTGGGGGCACTGTGTGTGGATTATGTGCCCTCCTATCAGGTTCACATGGTAAAGAATACTATACAACAGCAGCTTCAGTATTTTTTCTGGCCCCTAGGGCTAGACATGATCCTAAAACTGATGTCTTTTGTAGAGGACCCCTCACGGTCCTTGAAATGTTAAACAGGTTTTTCCTACCTTTTCTGACTGCAAAAAAAAAGATACATTGGTTATATTTAATCCACTTTAAAGGATGTATTGGTTGTGCAGATTTTTGGTTTCAAGCGTTGCAGTTGATTCTGCAGAGACGAGTCTCACTCTGTGTTACCGAGCCAGTATCCAACCTCCCACAGATTTATGGGGATGCCAGTGTAAAACTGTCCCACATGGCTTTCCAGCCCGCCAGGGGCATGTGCTGAGGTTACAGAGGCGGTGAGAAGGGGAGGGAGATCACCCTAAAGTCAGCAAAGTAGCTATCTTTATGGTCTAAGTGTTTAATTAAAATATCTATCATTCACAATGACTTCTTTGATATTTATAGTCAACAAGTAGATCTAAGTGAAATATTTCTGAATAAGACTGAGTCTTAATGCCTGGTGGTGAACTGGTTTCGCTCCTCATCCATGATGGTGTGAGAGGCAGAGACTGTCAAGATGGGTGTTAGTGTGTTGGTGGGCTTTAGGCCATGTGTTTAACGCACTTTGCAACATGGCTCACAAGGTCTATGTGTGTGTTTTTTTGTGCAGCTTCAAGCTGAATGTGCACATCAGCATACCAGTGGATATTAAACTTTTTCAATCAAAGGAAATACAGACAATGGTCTCCTGGGTGTCTAAAGAGTGGAATATGAGGCTTTTCATACTAGGCTTTTCATACAACAGACGTTGTTCTTTTCAACTTTTTCTTTTGTCTGTACACATTTTTTTTCTGTATTTTCTCATCTGTAGAATTCATGAAAAAACCCAAAGTTGATGATTTTACTCTTGAAATAATAATAATAATAATAATAATAATAATAAAAGATTAATAGAAGTTTAAATTAGGCTAGATCTTTCTTATGTTTAAAATAAGAACATAAGAAACACAAGAAAGTCACTTTTTATTTATTATGGACAGGAACACTATTCTCTAACTATCATATGCTGTAGCTTTAGTAGGGAAAGTTTTTGATGTATATTTTTTTCAACAATATAACAAATATAAATAAACAAAATAAGGTAAAAGCTGTCAAAAAAATGAGTGGCATGACTACCACAACTAGAGATACTATAATGACTTTTCATATGGAGTGCTACGACGGAATCTGATAAAGATTCACTTTACTCAATATGCTGAACTCCATCTGATGGGACCCTGACTTACTTTATTATTAATTCATCAATCCATTTTCTGTCATGCTTATCCCAACTGGGGTCGCTGGTGCCTATCTCCAGCTGTCTACGGGCAAGAGGCAGGGTTCACCCTGGACAGGTCGCCAGTCCATCCCAGGGCAACACAGGGACAAACAACCATTCACACCTAAGGAGAATTTTAGAGAAGCAAATTAACCTAGCAGTCATGTTTTTTGGACTGTGGGAGAAAGCCGGAGTACCCGGAAAGAACCCACGCATGCACGGGGAGAACATGCAAACTCCATGCAGACCCCTGGCCAGGAATCAAACCTGGAACCTTTTTGCTGCAAGGCAGCAGTGCTACCCACTGTTCCACTGAGCAGCCCTTATTAATTCAACTAATATTATGTGACCACTGCATACTGTTCATATAGTATAGAAGCCTCTTTCAGAGATGACGAAATTATGATAAAGTAAAAAGAAGAAAAAAAAACAAGTTGATGCAACATAGCAAAAGCAATTTACTATGCCCCATTGATTTTGTTTCGACATGTTAGAAACAGCATTGCAAGAAATGTTGCAACTTAGAGGCAGAATATTGCAGGATTTATGCAACACAGCCTCTGTTTTTACATAAATGTTGTTCATATTATGTCATAAGATTGATATAATATTGACTATAGACTGTGTATAACTGCCCTCTCTTGTATCAAATTGGCTAAACTACCCTAATAGCATACAGTCAAGCTATGCAGAGCTCTGTTAATGATTCAGTATTTGAGTCTAGTGTGTTGAAGCGGAGACGTATCTAAAAGTGGCAGAGTAGCAGCCCATGAGAACAGGGGTTTGAGACTTCTGTTCTAAACATTAGTCCTTGTTTATGCTGTGGAGCTGGA